CTACAAGCTCGATAAAAGCGCCACCAATAACGCTAGCAGCATCAAATCCTTTTAACAAATCTCTCCATATGTTTATAGACCTTTATGCAGTTATTCCTTCAGTAGAGGACTTATACAGAATAAAAATGAGAAGTTATTATTAATTGATGTGCGATTTTTGACCCTAACGACACTGGGATGGGATCTGACAAGTAAAAATCTGTTCTTGCGTATAGAATTCCCTTCGGTTGTAGCAGATGCTGTGATACAGTGGTTAAATTCACAATGATGAAATTTCATTATGAATCTCCTTCAGTGTGCAATATACCAAATTAATTACAAGAAAAATGAAGATGACCTCATTAAATATTGAAGAGGCCACTATTATGATCACACCACTAATCCTTTCCATCTGTAACTCAACAAATGAATTATTGTAACAAAAAATGACATTCATCTACTATGATATATTGGTACAGTTTAAGTACAGATAAACAAAAAAAATTTACTAAACATAAACAAAAAGTCAGTGAAATATGGGTCACTCTTTAGTTAGTGACATGTTTTAAATTTATTTAAAAAAATAAAAATAAACAGAAATGGATTGTTTCTTAATTAAATTTTCCTGTCACATCTCATTTCCACCATAAACAAATCTGACATTGTTTCGAAAGCCTATTTTTTTTTCTAAAATGATGTAACAAATGATATGTGTTATAATGTATATATTATATATTCAAATATATATTGTTATATGTTTCTTTTTATATATATATAGTGTACACTGTCAATAAAACAGTTATTGACATTGTCAATTACAAATTCTAATTAACTTGTAGAAATTGTAAAACAGAGGGGAAGTCAAAAAGTCTGGGTGTGTGACACCCAAAATAGCTGTCAAATTTTGACCTTTTAAAAATATATATATAGGAAAAACGTCATTAAAGAAACATAATGAAAATTGAATATAATCTATTGTTTTTTAAAAAACGTTCTCTCTAAAATCAAGAAAAAGTCCTGTAATTGAATCATCATCCCTATAAGACAGATTTAAATGATATCAAAGATTCTTTAGTTTTTAGTCCTGCTGACCTGTGACCTTTCTATGATTATCCACCTACATCATTTCCATTTCAGGTGGTACCAAAGAGTGCTAACTCACAATCATTCAACAGTGACACTCTCACCACACTCCTGCGACACTTTAGCCTCACACGTCTGAGGTCCGACAACGAGCAGACCATCACAATGGCACCAGTCGGTATCAAGAGACCAGCTTCCACTATCTGTCAAAACCACTGCACAGACAATGATCAGCCAGATGGTCACACGGGCCTGCAACCAGGTACGACAACATGCATGCCACACTCTAGAGGATACCTGAGATACTTTTTTTCTCTAAATTAGCACCCTAACATTCACAGACAGTCATTATTAGCAAACAAATGCTAATGTCAGGATCCAGTCTTTTTATCTTTAAGATGCCTTGTTAACCTGTCAAACCATGACATGTTTGGTGCTTCTCCATCTGTCTGTGTATTCATTTTTGTCCATGCGTACAAGCCTCCCAGAAGTCTCGTCTCTCTGCCCACTGTCTGCAGCTTTCTATTAAGCCATCTATCTTCCTTTCCTTCCTTGATCTTTCTGTCAACCAGCCTGGGTGATTCTGCCATACTCTTAACTGTCATGGCTACCCTTGCGTCCTTCTCAGTCTGTCTCACAATTTACTTGTGCACTTGAGCTTGTGAGCCGCCCACTGGGGTGCCATACTGAACATGGCCACAACAATGAAGATGCAAGATGACTGTGTCAAAACTTGTTTTCAAGATGAAGGATAAAAACTATGATATATTTCACTGCTTATTTTTTCTATTTTGGTCTTGTTCCTTTACAGATTCTCCTGTAAAATTACATATTTGTGAGTGTTTCTTCAACGACAGTCACTTTTATTGATGTGGGCTTTTAAAAATTCAATTCCCTTAAAACACACTTTTCTCACTAGTTTAATTCATTTGTCTACTAACAATGTTCAATATAAAATATAAGCATTAAAATGATCAAGCTTATTTGAGGTCATAGTTCTAAAAACATAATATTTTTAGGATGGATTTTCATATTTTAATGTTGAAAACATCTGGATCTGGGCCAAGGGTAAAGCAATAAACTCTATACATAAAGGCATTAGAATTTTTTTAAATAAAAAATGTATTGAAATTTTTTTTTATAATAATACAGATTATCATTCTTTTATGATTCTGAAGAAAAATATTATTTCAGTGAAAAATCCTAACAAAAAGATATCTTTTCTTAAGTCTATTAAAAAAATAAACAAAAAGAAGTATGTGAATCAAAATATGTACACAAATATGTAAATCAAAAATTGCCTATAGTAAAAGTTTACATAAAATATTCAGCATTTTAAGGTAATATGCAGACCACTGAAACACTACAAATGTTTATTAATCTGAACTAAATAATTGTTTAACTTGCTGCTAAAGATTGTTACTTGTTTTATTTCTGAATGAATCAACGTTTTTGAATGAATCAGTTGAAATGAGTGATTCAATGAGTCACTCATAATCACTTGTTGCCACCTACTGGTGTAGCAAAATCTGAAAGGACAGCTATCTGTGGCACAGTTTTTTTTTCACATGGGATTTTGAATTGAAATTGTGATCTCTTAACGAATAAGCATGAAGCTGCTTCATAAGCTATAACACAAAGAAAAAGAGAAAACATGTATTAATAAAATTTTACCTAACAGTGCTTTTAGTTGAAGAAACACCCTTATATGTATATTCGTAGAAGAGTCTACATCCATTCATGAGTAAAACTGCACAATGGTGATTCTCCACTCCAAAGCCTTTGAATTTCTGTGAACTCTGTGTTTCGGAAATTGGCCTATAATATTCAATAGACATGGCTGTTTGAACATCATTTTGTCAGCATTCAAAAATAACCTTTTACAAATTAACATAAACCTCCTAATCCCAACGGACCATTGTCTGCTTTCAGATGGCACATCTGAGAATTCCAGTCTCTCAGCATCTGTCAAAACAATCTAGCATCCTTTTCACTTTTACATGCGCTGTACTTTCCATAGGTAACTGCACAAATCAGCATCCTATGAGCTCTTTAAAATCTTAAAGGCTACAAAAATGGAGCATCACAAATGGACTGCTAACTGTATTTTAGGTGCTTGGGGAAGTGTCATTCCATTTGCAGTTTATTTGGTGTAGTGAGCAGTTAACCCACACATTTCTCTATTACATTTCTGGTCCTACAGAGGAGTGAAGCAGTGCCACCTGATGTGCTCGAAATGGATGTAATTGAGTGGACCGAAAAGATAATTAATGAGCAATCAATGAACATGCAATAGAAGGGGGCGAGTATAGCATGCAGGGGGATTCAATCTAAGAGTTATGAATGATTTAACAGGGGAAGCAGGCTTGCATGATAATACAAAACTGTACAGGTCAGACCAATTTAATCTACTATGTCTCTAATCAATTTTACAGGTGGTCCACTATATTAAACCAGAGTTTTGTTTCTTTTGTTTTTTTACAACATAACACCAGGCTTTCATTGCACAGTGAAATACAAATAAACATTTATAGTGTGCTTGGGTAAAACTGTTCATAAAAGAATATGTTACGATTGCCTGTCAAATAAAAAGGTCCAAGAGTGTGTCTTGATATACAAAGGTCATACAGTCACTTAAAAACTCTACAGATAAACCTTTTCCTGTGTTGCTCATTTCCTGCCTTCAGACTTTAATTAATGTCAATGAATCAATGAATGACTAAATGTGGAAACTTAATTTTTTGTACATTCATTATTTAACTGGCAGTAGACCATACCATGACAGCTCTGGCTGCTGAGTCGTATGACACATTTTTAGGTGATGAGTGAGATGTAAATATGATGTTATTAAATTGTCAAAACATATGGCAATGCAACTGAGATAGTTTGGACAAACAGATAGGATATTAACGTCACAATTTTCCTTTTAGTCTTCTCCTGGTCAGCCTTGCAAAACAATACATCTGCGTCCAATTTGCTTCCATGTTATTTAGTGCGGTGGTAATCAATTATATAATTTAATAGGAATTTTAATAAGAAAAAAAGCTCATAATCCAACTATTCTGACTCCTCTAAATGAAGTTGACCTTAGTGGTGAAGCTCAATATAGTGAACTGAGGAAAGAAGAAACTACTTCCTACATTTGACTGCACACATAATGTCTATAATGAAGCCACCAAAATGTAATTATTTCATCATTTACTCACACTCATGTCATTACACACCTGTATGCATGTTTTTTCTTCTGTAGAACACAAAGATGATATTTTGATAAATGTCTCACGTTTTTTGTCTCTACAATGAAAATCAGTGAGGTTCAGTGTTGTTTTGGACCCCACTGACTTCCATTGTATGGACCAATCAGTTGAAACATTCTTCAAAATATCTTCATTTTGTGCTGCAGAAGTAAGAAAGTCATACAGGTTTGGAATGACATGAGGGTGAGTAAATGATTACAGCATTTTTCATTTTTGGGTGAATTTTCCTTGAGCCAAAGATTTCATTTCAACCACAAACAATGATAAATTCTTACCTGTCCGTTCTTCTTGAGGTCTGCCCACATACTGGTCCCACCTCCTCCTTTCATCAGGACATGGTATGTGAAGAAGTAGATACCAGGTAGAGGGCATGTAAATTTTCCAGTGCTGGGCTCATAGTAGTTGCCAACATTGGTCACCACATCATCAAACTCACACACATACTGTACATACACGTATTACCAGTTTTATCCTTGATTAAACATGCTGAAAGTTTTTTATTTATTTACAATTAATAATATTTAATATTATAATAATCAATTATTGTTATTTCTTACAAAATGCATCCAAATGCATACAAAATGCATTCCCCAAAATTTGATTACAGCATTTTTCATTTTTGGGTGAATTTTCCTTGAGCCAAAGATTTCATTTCAACCACAAACAATGATAAATTCTTACCTGTCCGTTCTTCTTGAGGTCTGCCCACATACTGGTCCCACCTCCTCCTTTCATCAGGACATGGTATGTGAAGAAGTAGATACCAGGTAGAGGGCATGTAAATTTTCCAGTGCTGGGCTCATAGTAGTTGCCAACATTGGTCACCACATCATCAAACTTGAGCACATCAGTGCCTTCATGTTGCTTGCGCAGGCCTGCGTAAAACGCAACCTTAGGGCTGTAGAATGATGGCACGTAACCACCAGGCCCAGGACCTGGGGGCCCTTGTGGACCTGGTTTTCCAGGCTCTCCAGGTGGTCCTCGTGGACCAGGTGGTCCTGGTATTCCCGGAGGTCCCCGATACCCAGATTTCCCTTTCCGGTTTGGAAAATCAGGCGGTGCGGGTGAAACAGCCGTTAGCTCCTGGCCATGAGATGTGGTGTAGGGGTCACAAACCATCCGACATCTTCCTAGCATTTCATAATGGCTTCCTGCGTTGCCGGCTCCTCCTCCTTTAGTGGTGTGGACCAGTAAAGGGATGGTGACCAGGAGAATCAGAACCATGGCCACACCCACGGCTGCTCCTATGACACGCTTGCGACGACTGAGCCGGGAGGCAGCAAGCGTTAGAAAGTCCTCCTCTCCTTTAGATGGAATGGTGCCCGCCAGCGTGAAAGGTGGAGAAAAACTCGCTAAAGTGTGAAAGCAAATGTATGTTGGGGTACAAAATAACAGCCAAAGAGCCACAGATATCTATAGAGGAATAAGGCCAGTGAGGAGAAGGATAGCAGATGAATTTATGGATGAGACAAGGAGACCAAGAAGAGCGTGGAGCATACAGAAAGGAGAGGGTGCAATGGGACTTGTGGTAGGACAGAGTGGAGAGCCACAGGAAAATCTGGAAGAATGAAAAGGAACAGTGGAGGCTGCAACAGAAAGGTGTGGCACGGAAAAGAATGATTAAGAAAGATGATTACGGGAACACAGCTTATGGTCACCTATTATTTGGGAACACTAGCAATACAATGCAATATGGTGTTTTTAAAGTGTTGGAATTTCTTTGTAAATAGCAATACGGATCTTTTCATTCATCCCCTTGTTTGTTAACATTAAATATACAATGAATTCTCCAATACACAGAAGATGCTTTGAGGTTTTCTTTTGCATTAAGTGAACAAAAATGAACTGTTTTTGGTTTTTCCACTTCAAAGTTCCTGTCCACCTAACAAAAGATGTGCAATTGAGCAATTGCAAAATTCAGTTCATGAGAGGCTAGACGAAATCACAAAGTTATCTGCTTGCAAAACAAAATTCAACCAAATACCTAAAAGATGTGCCAAAACAATCTGTCATCCAATGTTCCACATTTCAAAATAAACTGATCCCGCACAATGAAATTTGTCCAACGCCCTGCATCAAAACCTGATGAGCCACAATGTATTGATCCTTCAGAATATTATTATTATTTGTTTTTTAAGGGATATATGGAAGACCCCTGTAGTCGCTCTGGCGGGGCAGGGAAAATTCCACAGAAACAGAACTAGAGGAGGAAAAACACAAAAAGACAATAAGAAAAATTTGTGAAGGCTATATTTCATGTTATGTATGTATACACACACACACACACACACCGCAGCATAAATGGCTGCCCACTGCTCCGGGTGTGTGTTCACGGTGTGTGTGCACTTTGGATTGGATAAATGCAGAGCACTAATTCCAAGTATGGGTCACCATACTTGGCCACACGTCACTTTCACTTCTCACTTTCACAAAACATATTTATTTATTTATCTATCAGAATGACCACTGATTTTCATAGTGGCCAACTGGCATTAAGTTTTTGCTGCAAAATGTTTGTCCTAATCAGGAGAAATACGCACAAATAAACAAATCAATTATTAAATCAATACCATAAAAATATTTTTTTTATACATTCAGTGAAGCGCGCGAAATAACACCTGTGAAAGTAGCCTATGACACAAGTGCGCAAATTCAAGTACACTAAACAAAGGCATTAAAGAGACAAATTACCTTCACTTCAATGTTTATTGAAGATCTTTAGGATTAAAAATCTTCCTCTGATGTTTGTCCTTTCATTTGCTGAGCTCCGGAGCAAATTAAAGCTGAATGTAATTCATGCGCATCTTCAGCAGACGAAGACTCCTCTCTTTACTCCAACAAGAGACTGAATCGCAGAATAACGATTTTAAATGCTTTAACCAGTCAAATAAGATTAGTTAACTTAATTAAGTTGCGGCTATCAGCACTTCTGACCTTATTTATTCCACAGACTGTTACTGACTGCACGCCTGAGTTAAACTTCCGCTTTTGTCGTTCGTTCTGTCGAGAGAAATAATAAAACCGCAACAGCGCTGGACTTCTGACTCCGACACCTGTGAGATTTTCACTCCACACACACTCACACTGTCCCTTTCTTCCATCCGGTCGACTCCTCCCTCCATCCCTCCATCCCATCTCGTCCTCGCTCGCTCCTCTCACTGGCTCTGTCTCAAACGGCACTGAGCTGCCTACCTAAAACGCGCGTGCGATGCCCAAAGACGCTGGCTGACTCGGCAGCAGCACACTTGGTTTGAGACACAACCGTTGTGTTTTTCCAACTTATTCATCATTTAATGGGGGAAAGTGGTGTAAATGTTAATCGTTTATCATGTCAGCAGTCTATATGTTGACTAATGCTTTTAAAAACAAGCCATTTTATTAACAAAAAACTCTTGTGGACGACACAGAAAAAAAGGCTGGGGAACTCTATCTGTTTGGGTTAAAGATGGAGCACTGTGACTTTTCGAGGCCATTGTGTGTGTGGCTCGATTTCTCTAGCTTTCAGAGCTCATTAGTGAAAGACACTGAGACCACTGTGCTCTCCCTCGCTCTCTTTCTCTATCTAAATTGGATTATTGAATAAAATCTATCAGCAACAAACTAACAGATATATTACATAGACCTAGAACAGCTGACAAATAGGTCTGTTATGATGGATTTTTTTTAATGTCAATACAACATTAAAACTGACCCATATAAAATAGGCTAAACGAACACATTCACACAGAGTTTGCATAGCACCTTGCAGTCAGTTTGAAGGCTAATGCTAGTGTTTAAATATTGGGTCTGGTAACAGATCCATTGAGAATTAATTGTAACTCATCCAGTCTGCCTCCCCGTCAGACTTAATCACACATCTGCATTTTTAAAGTTTAATGGTGGAGGTGGTAGTGGGGGGCTTTTTTTTCTCCATCAGCCACCCCTCTCTGCACCTCTTCCTCCAATATGACCAGTGCCAGCAGAGAGAAAAACAAAAGAAGTGCACAGAGAAAAGAACGGTCTGGGGAGATAGGTGCAGAAAATGCTCCTCAAGTAAGAAGTATATGTGTGTTACAGTGTTGAGTTAAACACTGTCACTCCCACCTCATGTGCCAGTCAGTCTCTTCCATTAGAAACACACACACACACACACACACACACACACACAGTGCGGGTTTAACCACAATGGATGTATAATCATCGCCAGGAGACATAGGCAATATAGTGAGAATTGGATTTTTAGTGGCTGTTAAAATATTACTGAGATGATTAATATTAAAAAATGCACGTCTCTGAGCTGTCTGTCATTCGCACTTCTTTTCAGGTCTCGTTTCACCACTCTGTCTCTCGTTTCTCTTTCTCCTGTAATGTAGTTGAGCCAGTGACCCCAAAGCATCTGGCACAGTTTACCCCACAGTTACCATTTTGGTAAAAATTCTTCATTTAATAATCCACTGCCGGCTTTAGTCATTCGTTTTTGTCATGCACTAAGCTAGGCTTGAGAATTGTTGCATCTGACTCATTTTAGCCTTTAGATGATGTACCTTTTTCTGTCATTGATGACTCAAGTAAACTGTTGATGGTTGTTTCATATCATGCATCTATAGATCGCTGTTTGGCTTTCATCGACTGTTGCTTGACGTACAACTGTCGAGAGTTGTATTGAATGACACTGGGGAAGCAATATCTGGACAGTTTCCTTGGAAATAAATTTAGTTCTAGTCTTACAACACAGTGTTGTGGAAATATTGTATGTGTCAGATCAACCAGGCTAGTACGGCACTATATGGAGTACGAGAACGAGGCAGGGACAATGTGATCCACTGGATGTTCACCTTCAAAGTCCCTCTTTGTATTCAATCTGCAAGAGAAACATGTCACAAGTTAACCATTTAGTGCATTACGCACCGATAAATGTTTCAAACAAAGAAATATATTGAAATATATAGGTGGATCTATGTTATCACTCCAATCAAATATGTCAAAACATAGATCCACCTCAAAGAAACAAATAGAAAAGCAAATGTGAGATTAAAATAGGAATTAAAGTCACATTGTGTGATATAAAGGCACATTTCAAGATATAAGTCATTGTGAAATATAAATTTACAGTTGTGAGATGTAAAGTCAGAATTGCTTTAAAACATATCTCTAGTGGAAATGGAAGGTAGAGCACATTGAATTGTGGGATACATATTCCATACAGTGTGCTCTGATGTACACTGTGCAGTTTGGCAAGTTTAGAAGGCATTCCATGCATATAGAAAATTAGCATGGTGTGCACTGTATACTGTACATATTATATACTACAGACCTAGTAAGTGCATTCTGTTATTTAAAAGAAATCTCTTCATTGTCTGTATTTTCAGTTCATCTATATATCTAGGTTTCCAACACTAAATTGGTGGAAAATAAGAAAACCGCATGCATTCTCCACATGAACACATACAGACTCACTAATCTTTACCAGACACAAGATCCCATGAGTGTTGCTGCGACACATATTGAAACATGGATTATGTGCATAGATCCGCCCATGTCTCTGAGTAGGTGTGAAGAATGATTTATACTCCGTTATTTATGTTACATTTTGGACGATGAGAATACCGGGTAGTAAAAAGAAATGAGGACATGAATTAACGCTCGGTTAAACAGCAAATATTGACAGAGTCTCCCAAATGGTCAAAGGAGAGGTGACCTGACCTCTGCCCTGGAGGAAAAGAATGGATCTTGATCTAAAATATAACAGCCTATAGATCAGTGCCTCTGAGGGTTATGGTGTTGGAAAAAGATTAATAAAACATCACCAGGTGCTGAGTCAAAGGCCTTTTGGACTTTCAGGAACAAGGTATAAGTGAAGAAATGGGTTCACTTTGGCATTCATACAGTATACACTGAATGTGCATGAAAGGATGTAATTACCAGATGTTGGTTTATGTCAAGGAGAGTTTGCTTTTTGTATGCAAATTTGAAAAAAAAAAAAAAAAAGGATGACAAATAAATGTCAGGTAAATATCTGTATGTTTCATGAGTGAGAGAGAGAGAAAACGGTGTGAGAGGTGTCAGTATATATCCATTTATGTGCACTGCAAAAAAGAAAGAAAGAAAAGTATTCTTGTCTTATTTTGCAGTAATCTAAAAAATTATAGGATAAAATAGTCAAGATATATTAACTAAAAATGATTCTGAATATCATTTGCAACTGTGCTTCTAATATAAACTTAAAATCTCAATATAAATAAATAAAGATAAACTAAGATTTAAGACATATTCTCTAAATAGTTCTGAATATCTAATGTAATTTTGCTACTAATGTAAATTCAAATTCTCTAAATAAAAACTGTTATGTCTAAAGATGTCATGATAACAGGGTAAAATAAAATGCAGTTTCATTGTCAGTATATGTCCACTTAAGTGCACTCCGAAAACGTATTCATGTCTTGTTTTGCATAATATTATATAAATAATTATCTTAATTATTGAAATAAAATAAAAGATCTAAATAAAAAAATGCTAAGATAAAAGATTCAAGATACAGTATATTCTATGAAAACAATTCTAAATATATTATGCAATAGTGCTTCTAAAGTAAATTTAAAATCTCAAAATAAATACAAAATCGGAATATCTAAAAAATCGGAATATCTAATGCAATTTTGCTTCTTTAAATTCAAATGATATAAATAAAAGCAATCGTCTAAAGTGATTTACGAACATCCTGTGTCTTGGGCCCCTGTGGAATTCGGCTCCTCGTGTTTCAACCATGTTTTGACCAAATCTTAGATTGTCTGATTCGGTCTGATATCCTACAATATGATAATTAGATAAAATGCAATTTTGCTTCTAATGTAAATTTCGAAACTTTTAAAATCTAATCTAGTGTTTAGATATTTCCCTGTGAAATAAGAAAAAATGATTTTTGTTTGTGTGTTCGATAGAGAAGGGGAAGCGTAGGTGAGCCTGTATATGTGTGTGTGTGTGTGTTTCTGTTGTGCTGTTTTATTAGACTCTGATCATGGTGCCTGATGCAGAGTGACAGTGTGTAGATTGAGTTGCACAGCCACTCTAATTCTCTCCATTAATAAGCATCGTTCCACACTGCCGTCCCGTACCACATTTATTAATCACAATTTGTCATCTGCCTTGCACTCCACCCCTTCTGTGTCTTTCTTACCCCCCTTCTCTC